CTATTAAATTTTTGATACAAAAAGGTACATTTTGAATACCTTTCTAGGCAGATAGCAGATATCTCTTAGTGAGACTTGATATCCTCTTAGGCAGTAATTTCTTTGAAGTCCTTTCTTAAAACAAGTACAACTTTTCTGCTACTCATTCAAATGTACCAACATGCATGCAACAAACTGATTTTTAACTCTTCAGAATAAAATAAAATGATATAAACTTTACAACAAAATTCTTTCTACTAATATTCTTACACAACCAAACCTCATTTTCAAATTTTCATTCAAAATTTCAGTGGTCGTCGTTGTTGTTGTATTTGTTATTTTTAAATCACTTTTTATTTTCATTAATGAAATCCAAACAGACGGCGGTAAGAGGTCCTACAGGCGGCGGTAGACCGCCGGTAACCGGCTTTTATTGAAACCCCTGCAATAATAATAATATTATGTATACACTCTCAGTGTTCAACTGCTAACCAGTTCCCGGTACAAGTCACGTCTTGCGTTCTTAGTGGTCGAGAACCCGTTGGAGGATTCTCCTTCAGGATTCTTCCTGATAGGGCAGTCTTATGAATCTGAGATACATCAAGATTCACCCCTAAGTTTTCAAGATGACCAACTAATCCTTTAGGGATTGTCCCAAGTGCCCCGACAACAATAGGCACAACCCTACTTTTGACCTTCCACAGTTTTCAATTCTCTTGCCAGGTCTTGATATTTACCAATTTTCTCTTTCTTCTTCAGTTCCGCCCTAGCATCTTCTGGCACAGCTACGTCAATAATTTGGCAAACTGCTTGCTGTATGTCTACTACAAGGTCAGCTCTATTGTGTTCAAGCTGATAATCAGTCTGTTTGCTAAAATCCCAAAGGATTTTGACTTCCCGGACTCTCGAACTTTTTCAGGGACATGCTCATACCACTTGCCAGCAACTGTCAATCCGTACTTTCTGCACAGGCACCAATGGACAGCTTTTACAACACTATCATGACTACTTTTATATTTTCTCTGAGCCAACACTCAGCAGTCACAAACTATCTGGCTTACTGATTCTTCCACACTCTTGCACAATCTGAATTTTGAGCTGACAGCCTCTTTGTCAATCTTTACCTTTATTGCATTCGTTCGCAATGCCTTGTTATGTATCCTTAAATCCCCCCTTCTTCAACCACGTCGAAGAGAGATTACTCGTTGCACCTTCTGTATGCCTTAAAACTGACCATGGAAATTATGGTTTTTCCTTCCAGTCCGCCATTCTCTCATCACTCCTTTGCTGCTAATACTGTAAAGGGTCGCTTTCAGCTTTAGGCTTCAAAACAAGGCAGGTAGCTTTTTAGCAGCATTTCTTGACTCTGCTGAACATGGCTCTTATTCAAACTCGATCAACTATTCCATGGTGGCACAGTCCGCTGCACTATTCAGCCCATGTCCACCTTCCTTCCTTGGCAGTATACTCTACGTGTATTTGCTCGAAGGTTTACAGTGCCATACATTGTGAACAACTTTCTTGTCTTCCTGTCAATAGCCTCCACCTCCGCTTTCTTCCACTCCAATAAACCTCCACCACACCTCAGGTGAGATACAGTGCTTTCGTTAATAGCTGCGACAACATAGCCTCTGTTCAACCTCGACTTCAGAATCGATCTTATCCTGTGAAAGTATTCCTTTGTCAGTTTTGTTTTCAATTCCTAGCTCCTGTAAGACATCACTAGCCTCTAACACTCCCAGATACTTGTATCCTTCTTCCTGTTGCAATGCGGAAATTTCCCTTCCTTCCGCAGGTAACTTTATACCGTCAAAATTGGTAGTTTTTCCTCCCTTCAAGATTTTATGCATGCACGCTTCTGAATACCGAACTCCACAGCAATATCTTCACTATAAATACGGACAGTCTGGACTAACGATTCAATCTCACGCTCGTTCTTTCCACACAACTTTAGATCATCCATAAACAGCAGGTGGTTAATCCGTATCTGGTCATTGCTTAGGACATAACAAGGCTTCACCTTTCGGAGTAAAAGTATTAGAGGGATCATAGCAATGACGAAAAGCAATGGTGATAGGGAGTCACCCTGAAAACTTCCTCGTCTGATTCAAATTTCGCCATGCGACTCATTGCTTGAGGTCACGACAGTTCTCCACCCCTCCATATTTCTTCCCAGGAGAGTTTGTACATTCACGGCAGCACCAACTAGGTTGAGGCATTTTATGATCCACACGTGTGGCACCATGTCGTACGCCTTTTCATAGTCAATCCATGCCATCACCCAATTTTGTCTTCCTCCCCTTGCAATCATTTTCACCATCTTATCAATAGACCTTTTTACCGATACGGCAGCCATATTGAATTTATTAGATTTAAGGAGTATTATGGNTTCACTATAAATACGGACAGTCTGGACTAACGATTCAATCTCACGCTCGTTCTTTCCACACAACTTTAGATCATCCATAAACAGCAGGTGGTTAATCCGTATCTGGTCATTGCTTAGGACATAACAAGGCTTCACCTTTCGGAGTAAAAGTATTAGAGGGATCATAGCAATGACGAAAAGCAATGGTGATAGGGAGTCACCCTGAAAACTTCCTCGTCTGATTCAAATTTCGCCATGCGACTCATTGCTTGAGGTCACGACAGTTCTCCACCCCTCCATATTTCTTCCCAGGAGAGTTTGTACATTCACGGCAGCACCAACTAGGTTGAGGCATTTTATGATCCACACGTGTGGCACCATGTCGTACGCCTTTTCATAGTCAATCCATGCCATCACCCAATTTTGTCTTCCTCCCCTTGCAATCATTTTCACCATCTTATCAATAGACCTTTTTACCGATACGGCAGCCATATTGAATTTATTAGATTTAAGGAGTATTATGGTATGCCCAGGGGGGCACTGGCTCAGTATTTATGCGCGCTTTTCGGGCAAAAAGAGAATTTCAACGTATATTTCTCGGGAAAAAGGCGATCGTCATTATATCCAAACACGGCACAACGATCTTTTTTCCCATTACAATCTTTTTCTGGGAAAACTTAAAGAAAAATTGGCCCGAAAAGCGCATGTAAATACTGATGCAAGTATACTGGATCGTCCTCATGCCCCCTGGGCATCCCATAATACTCCTTAAATCCAATTAATTCAATATGGCTGCCGTATCGGTAAAAAGGTCTATTATCAACTGATCTTTTGTTCCTCCAGATTTTTTTCTGCAGCCTTTTTGCTCTTCGGGGAGTAGCTGCTCCCTCTCTAGATGTTCATATAGTTGGGAGCAGATTTTTCCAGTGACCAATTTCCACATTAACGCTAGACACGTGATTGGTTGATAGTTGTCAGGGGTGTTACCCATTGAATTATCTTTCATAATTAAAACCGCTTTCTCATATTTGTTCGTGGTTGCAGTTGAAACTCTTGCTTTGGCAATTCGACAAAACCCAGAGATAATTGGTATTAAAATCGGTGGCGAAGAAACAAAACTCCTTCAATATGCTGATGACAAAACGGCCGTTCTGTTTGACATTGACTCGGCACAGGCCCTTTTTAACCTTCTCGAAGTATTCAAGAACTTATCAGGACTTGTAATTAACTCATCTAAAACTGAAGGAATGTGGATCGGGTCGTCTAGAGATAAAATTTCAAAACCTTTTGGTATAAAATGGCCTGACGAACCAACCAAAGCCGTCGGTGTTTATTACTCATACGATATCAAACTTTTGCACGAAAAATTTTTTTTTGAGAGATAGGACAGTGTCAAAAAACTTATAAACATTTGGTCTTCAAGAGGCCTTTCTATCTATGGAAAAGTAACAATTATCAAGTCTTAAATCATACCAAAATCTGTTTACATTTCCTCGCTTCTGCCGATCCCCAAGTAAATCTTTAAAGAGTTAAATCAAATTTAAATCAAAATTTTTGTGGAAAGGAACCGATAAAGTGACAAGACTTTCCACAATTAACGAATATGAAAATGGTGGTTTAAAAATGATCGATCTGGAAAGTATGATTAAATCTTTATGACTAGCCTGGCTGAAAAGGATCTTCCAGTGCAACAATGGTGCTTGGAGAAGCTTTTTACGGTTTTCTCTAGAAAAGTGGAGGGTTAAAGACCTCAGCCCCCCCCATTCCCGGCTCTGCCGTCCCTGGAACTGGCTTCCTCAAAGGGCAAGCAATTTTTTAAGACATATTTTCCATCTCACCCTGCGGCGAAGGAATGCTAATGCAACTGGCCATTTTTTTTGTTGAACACAGGGATGAATTTTGCTACTACTCTTAAATCAGGAAAAGAAGTAAATGATCTTTTATTTGAATTAGACACCACAAATTCTTATACTATGCAAAACGGATTCAACACACGTAGGTTGGAGAGTAAAGGAAAATTTTCCTGAAACTTTTAAATCTCAGTTGGAAAAAAATAAAAATGTTATTCACCGGCCTAGGTCGGTCCGTATTGGGAGAAACTGTGCCCTTGGTCTGAGTAACGCCGGAGGCCATAAGACCTCGGGCATCGAGTCTACAATTAACCTCCAGATATTGGGGTAAGCACTGCACGTACCTGTCAGTTTACACTTTATTTAGGTTGAGTTTTATTTTTTAAAGTAATATCTCATGAAGAATGTTGAAAATAGCATTTCTGAACCTCTAGGTTTCAAAATTTCCTGGGTGTGGATGGCCCCCATACCTCCCTACAAACCTGCACCTCTGGCCCTGATTTTCAAGCCCTCCAGTTGAAAATATAATACACTTTGCCGTCTCTGAGTGCTAAAGTTTACCAGCCCAGAACAGACTGTACGGTCCTACTCTCTTTTTCAACAACTGTAACATTTACTTTAACTCGGCAAAATTATGTTGCTTGCCAATTGGACATCTCAATATTACAATTAAAAAAAAGGTACCTTGCAAGCCTGTCCACCCCATAGCTATCGATGCTACATTCCATCAGTTCTAAGTACTGAATAGGATAGATAGACTGCTCCAGAAACAATGCCTACAAATGAAAAGGATCAAATTACCAAAATTACTTGATTTGGCGCACATGTAAGCAAGTCCAGTGGTCTGATCACAAATTCAAAGTATAACATGTACAGTTAACCAGACAGGGCTAGTCAGGCCCCATTGATGAAATAGTGGAGAAGATTGATTTCTATTACCCAGGGTTTTGCAACTGTCTTTCACTGCATAAGGGCTATTCTATTCTGCAAAACGAAACGAAACGAAACGAAATATATGGGAGAGAGAGAAAAAATGCTTATTAGCGGAGCTCCAGACGCGCTTCGCGCGCGCGTGGGCGGAGCCCCATACCTAAGTAAATCTACCCATCCCAGAAAATTTGGTAATCACGTGACCGTACACCGACCGCCGACCGTCCGTCCGCACCACAGGAAAACCAATGTTTACTCTCACACTTTTAGCTAGTTTGGGAGCCCAAGAGAAAACTAATTGCACATCAATGTTGTGATCAATTGACAGCTATCAAAACAGGTTATCCGCTGACCAGTATCACCTGACCGTACCGTGGGTTCAAGTCTCGACCCATCGAGGTCGAGTATTTTTTAAGTTATCCGCTGACAAATTACCAGTTTCAAATGATCGCAGGCTCAAGTTTATTTTTTCCAAGGATTCATATCAAATATCTTGTGTTTATGTCACTATGGCCCCGCACTATTAGGATTCTGCTTTCAAACTGACCTCGGAAGCGAAAATTCAGCCAGTTTTTAAAAGCACAGGCGGGGAAGACCTTATCTTACCATGGTCACGCCTTGGTCACGCTCTACGTCCAATTTTTATACTCTGATTGGTGAAAATTTGACAGGTGAGTTAATGCCGAAAAATTATGCAGCATCTTGAAAGTTGTTTACTTTGACAGCTGAAGCTGACAGAGTTTTGTGTCAACTTGTGATGTTTTTAACTGTCTTTTTCCTCTGAATGTACAAAATGAAATACAGCTGCTATCAAGAGTCTTCTGTTGTTCGTGGCTGGTTTGTTTACTGGGTTTTTGGTTGAGAAATGCGTCGCTTATCAAAATTCGGTAATTCGATTTCGGATGGCATCGTTTTCGTTTTTCACCTTGCTTAATGCATAAGAGGGTTTAAAAGTCTCAAGCAACTGTGGCCTTCCTTGATAGCTTGCAGGAACTGAATCTCGAATGGTAAGCCTGAGTAATTATTGTATTTGATGTTTGTTTTTGTTATATCTAATTTCATGAAGTCTTGCACAGTTCACGCTGACAGTTTATGCGGCAAGTTTATGCACGTTTGTAGGATTTGAGTCAATGATCTGACCTAGTATCAAGTTTGATATAAGCTTACAGAACTTTAAAAAGCCTTCAGATATATTTGCTCACCACAAATAGAAAGAAAACGTTCCGAAGAATATTTAGTTATAAATTTGGCTGTAGAAAGAAAACTTTCAGCGATTTTCTTGCTTCGAGGAGTTCACCTTCGAAAACAGTAAACACCGCGTCGGGAAGCCGGCTTAAGCTTCACGCTTAAAGACTCAGGATTTTTAGAGACACTAATACTTGTCTTCGTGAAGAAAAATTGTTGAAAAGTTGTCTCTGTAAATGTTTCACCGAATTATATTTCTTTTTTTGATTGTTAGTAGTCTCTCTTGCAATTTTAATCGCTTGTTCGTGCCGTTTGTTTTCATCGTTCATGAACATCGCTTGCAGGAGTACTAAAAAATGTCGCGCGTATCAAACGCTTTATAAGATTGCACATCGTTATTCAGTTATTTTTATAACTGAAACCATCTTTAACTGAAACCATTAAAATGGTTTCAGTTATAAAAATAACAAAAACAAAAAAACAAAAAAAATTAAATTCGCTATTATGTTGAAGCGTAACTCTATTAAAGTTCATTTAAACACTCGACCACACTGACAGCTCGCACTACGGAAACGAGAACCAGCTGGCCGTATGGGTGATTTCGGAAATTTTTGAACGGTTTCGCTTTAAGCCCACGATTGATCGTCCTGAATATTG